CTAGTCCGTTGAATTGCAAGAAAGCAATTGCTAAAAGTGACAAACAGCCATAAACAAATAACAGCAAAATATGAGAGAAAATTAGGGCACAGACATATCCTTAAATTTGTATCATCTGCTTTCACGATACGTCCCTCGACGTATTTACTGAAAAGTTCACAATTTTTCCTGGAAAAATTTCTAGCTTTCAGGACCCCAGGCCGCCTCGCACTTGCGGGGCGGGGCGCGCAGTCGCGTACGTACGTGTGGTTGTGTGGTTTTGGCTGGTGTTTCGTTTCCACGGCTCTGTGGCACCGCGCCCCAGCCCCAGCCGCCGCGGTTCCCCTTTTGAGCAGCGTTCCTTTCCTTCTCCCCGCCGGCAAAGTGGTACGCGTGGCCCACCTTGCGGCTGCCGCATGCTTCCTGCTGCCGCTGCTGCTCAAGGCCGTCGCCATCCATATCCCGGGGCGGGCCGCAGCGCAGCGCGGTACTACCGTCTCGTATTTGTTCGTCAGGTCAGAGGGCGCGCAAACTCCATCTCCATATTCTGTGAGAACGCGCGCCACGCGCCCCGGCGGCGGCGCTTGCCCGAGATTTTCCGCTCGGGAAAGTTTGAGCAGCTGGCCGAAGTGTTCTCGTGGCGGCGCATAATCAAAACTAGTTTTACATTCATAACTTAATCTGCAAAGTCTTCATTCCGCGAGATCGCCGCCGGGTCCTTTGGGGTGGTCGCCGGTGGCGCGCGCCGAGGCCTCTGGAGCGCTCACGTGCCCTTCTGTGCCGCAGCCCCGCGCTCACCTGGCGAGACGTGCAGCACCTGGTGGCCAGCTCCTCCGAGTACGCCCCGCTGGCGGACAACCCCGGCTGGCGGCAGAACGCGGCCGGCTTCTGGGTCAACACGCGCTTCGGGTTCGGCCTGCTCAACGCCGACGAGCTGGTGCACCAGGCGCAGGACTGGGTCACCGTCCCCGACAAGGCCGTCTGCGTCGTCGACGGGATCACTTCGTGAGTTAGCGCTCCCTTGGGGGCGGCGCGCGGGGGTTGAGGACGGCGGTGTCCTCGGAGCTGGAGGTTGACCTCTGGCGTGTCACCTGGCGGCGGGTCCGCTCGCTGGTCCCGCGGGAGGCGCGCACTGACGCGATCCACCCACCCCAGGCCAGCCGATGACTTATTCACAGGCGCTCAGCCCGCGCGTAGCCTTCAGTGTGGTGCGTGGCCATTTCAAGATAACGCCAGGATTACATACTCTTTTATCGGATTTTTCGATTTTGCGCCCACAAGCCCGTTATAGCCAAATAAATAAAGTCACTGTGTCACTATGCTACTGCAGAGTGATTTAGATGCGTTTTGGTGTTACTCTCATGTTATTTTCGGCTTTACCGGCATGCGTTATTCTGCGGGTTACCGAAATAATATTGTTTCCTGATAAATTTGTGCGGGCTGGAATTAAATTCTGTTCTTGAAGAAAGGCGGTTTTCCCTTTGGCCTTTGCTGTTCTTAGAAAAGAAACTTCATTTATCCGTTTTGTTTCAAGTAACAGTTGTTCAATTATTTGTCATTGGACAAGAAACAGTTTTTCCGTGTGTGAAAGCGTTGCAGTACTGGACTTGTCGACGTACACCCTTGATATGTCGGAGGGGCGCTGCTGCTGCGCTCCTCTCAAAGTCAGCTCCAACAAGAGCACGCCCCTGGCTGGCAGAGCAGCCGAGCAGCCGCTGGTGGTAACTACATACTGCTCGGGTTTGTTAAAACCACGTCGAGCGCCAGTGACAGTGACACCCGTGGGGCTCACCCGCCCAACTTGCGGTGCGCCGCCGCCCTGCTTGCTGCACGAGGCCCATTCTCTGTCTCCCCGGCGCGCGCGCCTCAAAGTTGAGCAGCGTGTCGGCGCCGGCGACATGAAGGCCCCCGAGCCCCGGGCAGGCCCTTCGGCGCCCCCTTTACGCCAGCCGCACCACCGCACGGCAGGGCAAAAGTGAAAAGTTATCGAGTGTGCTGCCGCTGTGTTGTTTCTGAACGGCCCCTCCTTCCTTCTCCCCTTCTCTCTCGCCCCAACAGGCAGAACGCGTCCTTCGTGCGCGGGGAGCGCATAGCGGTGCTGTTCGCCAGCGACGGGTGCGGCGGCGGGCCGCCCGAGCAGGCCGTCAACTTCCTGGAGCACGTCGAAGTGTCGGCCAACGTCGAGTACCCCGTGAGGGGCGCGCTCGAAATGTACCTCACGTCGCCGGCGGGTGAGGAAATCATCGCGATGACGGATCAGCTCAACTCCCCTCTCTCCCTCTCTCTCTCTCTGTTCGCTGGGCCCTCTCGGCTCGGCACCGCACTGCCCCTTAGTGGCGCCGCCGCGGCGCGTAGTGATTTCCCCAGGCGACTCATCGGGACCGTCGCGACGTCCCGCCGGGGCCTTCCGTAAATGATGAAACGCCGCCCCAATTCCCTCGTTCCTCACTCACTCCTCGCACGCACACACGCCCGTGGGGGGTGGCCGAAGACACTACTTACTTTACGGCCGTACCCCGCGCCTAAAACTCTCTGAACAGTGTTGCCACTC